TTTTCCTGGGTTCAAATGAGTAAATCAGGACTTTCCTAAGAATCAGGAAGTATTGTGACCCTAGTTATGATACATTTACAAAAATTGTGATTTAAAGTTCTATAGAACAACTGCTTGTGTAGGTAGACTCGCTGCCTGATTACTTATATCTTTGGAAATTCAAGGGCAACTGATAATTTTCAGGAACTGTCAGTACCATGATGGCATGGAGACCTTCAGTATCTCCAGCTTACCAGTTGTATGGTGTGAATCAGACATACTCAGTGACGTCTACAAATATGATGATTCTGTTACTGAAATAACTGAACCAGTCTTGCTCTGTTCAGCTCTCATCCACTTACATCTGAGCTCACAGGCTCATTAGATTGCTGCATTGTTCACATTCCAGACTTTCCCAGATGACACATGGAATTATTCTACAAGTTGGAGTGTTAACCTAAACAATGTGATTTATCTCTCAGTCAGTGACTAGTACATGCTATTAGTTTCCCCAAAGTCAGATTTTGATAGAAATATTTACAGGGTCGAGTGGGGATACCAAAAAGTAGAATTATGATGAAATTTGACTCAGAAAGGGCTTTCTGGAGAAGGTGATATTTGAACTGAGTTTTTAAGGATAGGTAAGCATTATATAGACAGATAAAAGCTTCTGCCTACTTCTTTGGAACAATCACACTGGAGCCTTTAGCTGCCATGCCAGGTATCTGACTGCCCCCAGGCTATCATGCTGTAAGGAAGCCCCAACATACCACCTATAGAAGGACCACATGGAGTAGCTCTGACACTGCATAAAGACAAAGTGATGCTTCACTCATCCCAGTTGCTTCAGTCCCAGTGTTCCAGCTCCAGCCTCCCCTTGACTGCAACCTCAAAAACACTTAGTGCCAGACCACCTTCTGAATCCTGACCTCCAAAAACCATGAGAGATAATAAAAATGAGTATTGTTTTGAAGTCACTTAGTTTTGGGTTGATTTGCTATGAAGCAATAGGTAACTGGAAAAATATGGTAAAGCATAAACCCCTGGAAGAGAAATTTGACATAAGTTTAATAAGCAATGAAGGCCCACAAAAAAATCTGTTGGGTAGAAGAAGGATAAATGTGGTATTTTAAGAAGTTCAGACAAATAGCAGTGTTCAGGATCACCTGATACCAGGGATGCCTGGAAGTAGAGAAATGATCTCAGAGTGTTCTGGGCACCAAATGAACAGTCTTTGGCAAGGCTGAGATTTTTCTATTTACAGAAACATTTCTCTTTTTTAAGGTAGAAATGTTTTAGAAAATTTACACATGTGATTTTGGGAATTTATTCATATTTTTAAAATCTTGACCTCTTAATGAACACCCTACTGAGTCATTTTATGAAAAATATATTTACTTCCTTATAATTCTGTTTCATAAATGTGGGTTTTCATTAATTGGTTCAATGACCTTATCTATTAGTCATTTTGTTCATTATTTTAAAATCTCCATTTAACACTGCTACTGTGTAGAAACCAAGAGATTTCATTAGCATCACATGATACAGAATTAATGAGCTAACATCAAACTTTTTCCCCAAGAATGACTTAAAGCAGCAAGCTTTAATATACATTTCATCAATCAGTATATTTTACAACATAGTACCCTTTAGTCCAACACCATTAGCACATCAGTTATATCAAAGTGGTGAGCTTTTGTACATATTTCTATTACTGTTGATGTTCAATAGAAATCTCTAACTGTGAAGCATGTGATTTTCCAGCACAGATAGCCCATGGGTCAGTTTTCCTCTTTCTAATCGAGGATCCCCTCCATCTCTCACCTTGGAAAGAAAAGAGGGGTTGTATCACTGCCCTCATTGTGTCTGGCATAAGGCTGCTTCCAAACATCACCCTTTCCCTGTTCTCTGCTCTACCATAAACCATCACTCACATCCCTGCTGTTCACCCACTGAAGCTACTCGATCAACAACTCTCAACCTTGGCCATTTCCTGTCTTTGGGGCCTGCTGAGAGGTATATGTGGAGTGGGCTATGCTTCCCTTCATGTCCTGGTGTTTTGTTCTCTAGAGCTGTATTGCAGAAAGTTCTAGAAAGTGTCAGACTCTATCAAATGGTACCAAGAGAACCATTTAAACCAGAAGAGAAATATTTTAAATTGCATATCAAATATTTGATTACTTGTGCCTCTAAAGCCATATTTTATGTTCAGAGTGTTTGGGAATGTCCACCTTGGTCTTGTCTCTGTGTATCTCTTTGAGAGCAATTTTCTCTTTTTTCTAATCTCCATTATCCAAGCTTTACTCTTCTTTGGGGAAATTCTACTCACTACCCATAGATTCAGTCCCAGGATCCAGCCTCTTGTTTTATGTTTTCCAAAGTCAAGAGGGTTTATTTATTCAAAAGTGATTAAGGGTTGGGTGGGGCAGTGCATCAGCAGGAGTGTGTGGTGGCATTTAGCCTTCCAAGTTTCGTAGGTGGTTCAGAGCTCTCTCCAAGTCCCCTTCCCCATTTATTCACCAGTATAAATTGCAGACTTCTTTTCTTCAGATTAGAGAATCTCCTCCTCTCTCTCCACCCCCATTTCTCAAGGTCAAATGTTAATTGTCAGAAATAATACAACCTAGCTCTGAGCATTGAAAAGCAGAGGCATTCCTAACTGCATTTAAGTTGGAGATGTTACTTCACGTTATTTTGCAAGCAGTGTTAGTTCACTCAGTTCAATCTTTGCCTCCTTCCCTTCCACATTTTATCCCAACATGTCTGTTTAGAATTAGAATAGGTCTTGAGGTGAGCCATTGAATTTTTAAAAATGGCCATTCTCTTTAGCTACAAAAAATATTTAGGGAAATCTAGAAATTAGCTGAATTAAATATTGAAGAAACATAACTGTTCTTTGGGAGAAAGGGGAAGGATAGGTTTAGTTTTCCCTAAAGTAGAAGAAATCCCAGAGTAACTTGTAATTATTTTTGCTTAATGCATGTTTATCAATGAAGCTTAGTGCAATATTGCTTAGCACCCTATTTTATTTGTTTATCCATGAGATTAGAATATATTAAATGACTAAGGGTTTGCTATGTGAAGATTTGGGATAAGAACATTAATGACTCCCAAAACTGCAGCTGCTGCAAACCCAAGAAGATTTTAGAATGAGGAAAAAGAAAGGTCAGCATGACTGGAGTCTAGTGTATATTTTCCCAATGCTTTTATGTTAGAAAATAAAGAATGGAGAAAGCAAGTATATCTCATATTCAAAATTTTGTATTCTTGCTTAGAAAAAGAATGGAGATTAGAAGGATGTTTTAGATCTTTCTTCTCTTGATCACCAACTATGTCCAATACACATCCCATATCAGGGAAGATTGGAGAGATAAGAGAAGAACAATTATGGAGGAGATTTAGAATATTTTGTACCTTTTTAGAATTAAGGAGTAAGAGAAAACCTTTTCAATTTTCTTCACCTGGGAATTTGACCTGGCTTTCTGGCATGTCACTGTGGTTCAGCTTTTGAGGTGCTGATGTTGAAGCTGGTACTTCAGCTAATATTTTCTCCTTTCTGGGAAAGCAAGCCTATAATGTATTTAATGGCTCAGATAGAACAGCAGGAAGAGTTTACTAATAAAAGATTTTGGAAAAAGAAGTAGGAGAGAGAGGCTGGCATGAGTTTTAGTGTCAGCATGCAAACAGTCCCCCTGGAGGGCGTTGCTGTCTCCTGCCAATCACAAAGATTCTCCCAGCTGTCAATCACCAGGCTGCCTAGACTCTGCCAGCTCAAGGAACTTGCATATTCTGTGCTGGAGGCTTTTTTTTTTAAGCAGCATAAAGCTACATAATAGTACTGTTGAACTGATAGAAATATAACAACATGCTTGCTTGATGAATTTGCAACCAAATAAAGCATATATTCCTCTTCTAATGGTCAAATTCTTTCCACTGTATTAATTGGTTTTGATGTACTTTATACTTAAGAATGGATATATGTGTGTAGGAGTCTCTGAGGTACAGTGATCTTTATACGTTTTAGGAATCTTGTAGAAAATAAAATAGTTAGATTTTCACTGAGGTCATGACTTGACTTTCAATGATTCTTGGTCATCTCTTTCACACACACACACACACAATGTGAGTTTTGTTCATGGGAAAACTTTTTTTTTTTCCTTTACTAAATTTTATTTGTAATAAAAATAAAAAGTCAAGAAAGACTGGATGGGTTGGGATAATGGAGTCATTGCCTATGTGAGAAAGTAAAACACCTCTTAAATTTTTATATCTTAAAAATGTCTTATACGGAATATTTCAACTATAAAAATGTATGCACTTTGAAATATTCAAATCTAAGTTTTTGTTCAACTTTAAATGAGTCAGTTACAAGAGAAAATTTGACCTTCTTCCTTTCCTTGCAGCTCAGTAAATATTTGACATAGTTGCTTTCTTAGTTCACACATAGCCTTTTGGAGAGTAATCAGTGAAATGATCAAATACAGAGGCCTGTATGTAATAGCTGAATCCTGAGTAATTATCCTATTTACAGAGAAAATTTAGATGTTAACTTGAGGGGCTAGAAAACTGGTAGAATTGCCAACTGAGAACATGTCGTAGGAGGTAAAATAGAATGAGATGTCCCTGAATCCCTTTGTGGATGGGATGTTTACTTTGCTCGGAGTGGAGATCCAGGACAGATGACTTCTTACTGGGTGGAGAGGAGGAGTCTATTCTCTTTCCCTCTTTCTTGATCAGCCATTAACATAGAGTTGAGTATGACTCTTGCTTCTTCCCTTCTTTCCATTCATTTTTACTTAAATGTGCAACTGTAGGTGGAAGGCTCTCCCCTCTGCAGCCTTGGATTCTGGGGGCCTCAGAGGCTCTCTGACCCTTGGCTCTGCTGTGGCTGCTTAACTCATGGTGGTGTCAACATTTGATTCCATCTTTTCATCTATATTTATGAGATTCAAAAATGTATTACATCTATAATCTATAAAAATTCCATAATTGGTGGATGTTTAACATTATTTTACCTACAGGTAAACTGGATGATGTGAAAAAGCCAGAAATCTAGCATTTGAAAAATAACAACTGATATGAAAAAACACAGGTAAGATTAAACTCCTATAACGCACAGATATCTCATGGAAAAGTCAAGTTTTTTACTTTTTCATAATTTAAACAAACCATCCAAAATATCTCTAATTAAATTTATTTTTATCCTTCTTATGGCTGAGTTCAGACTTTCCAATATGAATCTGTGAACACAACCTAAGGAGTAAACACAATTCTGTCTGTTGACATAGAGAAAACAAGCCCTTGCTGATAGCAACCATATCTCCTAATTCAATAACCCTCTCCCACTCCCACCCTAAGAACATAGCACAAAAAATAGGCCATCAGTCAATCCTCAATGAATGCTTTGTATTAGCGTGCAATTTGAAAAAAAACCCTATCATTATCTATCTATCTACCTTTATTTCTCTGTTCACACTTTAAATATGCCTAATGACTGTGGTGGCAGAATTTTATTTTCATAGCAATGTGAATAAACATATTCCTAGAACATCACTCTTGTTAGATGTAAAGTGAAGTAGTTAAGGAAGGAATTATTTTTAACAGGTAATTTGCTTGATATGGTTCTAATACAATGCCATATATAAGTGGAAGCTTAATAAATTACTTGGATTAATTCTATCCTGCTAAAGAGCATTTCTGTTTACTATTTCATATTTTTTGTGGTTAAGATTAGGCAGATGCCCGTTCTTCATTATTATGAAGATGTTGAACTAAGTCCAGCATAACCTTTGCTGGGAGATAATTCTCCATCATTTTTTCACAATTTTGTACATCTTCAGAACAGAAGCACTGACAATCTTTCCTCTTAGCTATCTTTTCAAATATACTTGTGTAGCAAACAACCTTGGGAGATAGAAATACTTCACCTCTGGAGCAAAGGTCATATTTGCTTGCAGCCCATGATATAAAAGATTGGAGTTTTCTAAGCTTGAGGTTCCTCAGCTGTGATGCAAACCCACCACAAACACAGCATCCACTTGGGTCCCTATCTTTCACCCCATGAAACTTGGAGAGCAAGAGGAACCCACACAACCACGAGGTGCGTGCTTCCTTCTACACTGTGAGTAGTAAGTCCTTTGTACCTGTCCCAGGAATCTTGTGTCTTTGGTCAGCTTCTGTGAAAATGTAACAGGCTAACTTTTTATGATTCTAATAGAGTAAAATCTCAGGTCCTTCACAGTTCTTGACACACTTCTGATGGGATAAATAAAACCATGTAATGTGACATCTTGCCAGAAAAAAAGAAAATTTAAGGGGCTCCTGACAAAGTCTCCTTAGTGTCCTTCTTTGTAATTAGACACTCAATTCACTTGTTTTTCTATTGCTTGTTTTTTAAATAGTCAAGAAAATTTGGCCTAAGGAAGACCAAGGCAGGTAAAAGAAGAGAGTGTTTTCATAAGGTTCAGGAAGCTCTCTTGGGGGAGAGGGGTCAACTCCCAAGTGTACCACTATAGCCATTAAGTAGATAGAATGCCAAATATGTATGATTCCTCATAGAAAGAGACATGTTGTTTTTGTTCAATAAATATCTTGCCTACATTTTATTAATATCAGCCCTCTTTTTAAATGGAAAGGCAAATATGTGCTATATCAATATTTTATCTTTGTATACTAATCAGCAGTAGTGCATTTGATATATTTTCCTATAAAGTCAAGTGATACAAACATATATATATATGTTTCTCCTTTCAAGTTTGGATGATTAACTCTCAGTAATTGACTTATTCCATCCTGACCATTCTTCCACCCACCCTGTTTGGATATACTTGGTAGTAAACAGTTGCCATTTTAACGATAGCTTGTCATTTTGACATAGCAAAGAAAGCAGCTATTTAAGCTGTAAGTTTTACATGCCAATATGTGACGAAAAAGCCACAATCACTCTTATTTTTACATATCACAGAAAGTCTCTAAATAACCAGGCTTTGTCAGTTGAATTGAGGTACTTGAAGGTAATCTGTCTTATAGCTAGTATTAGTCATTGTTTCAAGTCTAGAAACTGGAAACAATGACTAATACTAGCTATAAGACAGATTACCTTCAAGTACCTCAATTCAACTGACAAAGCCTGGTTATTTAGAGACTTTCTGTGATATGTAAAAATAAGAGTGATTGTGGCTTATAGCTAGTATTAGTCATTGTTTCAAGTCTAGAAACTGGCATTAACCTTACAATTCATTTTCAGTGGCAGTTTTTGTTTTTAGCAGAAACATTTAGTAAAATGTATTGAGAGACTCAAGCTCCACTATAAACAGATCGCTCAACCCAGAGAGATCCCTTGTCTGTCGTTCTGAGAAAGAAGTAGAAAACTGACAGGTGGGCACACAGTTCCTCTAGTATCTACAAGGACAAGGACTAGCTTGATATAGTCCCTTCTTAAGCTGCATTTGAAAGACAATTAATTGTATTCCACAAATTGAAACTGTGTTATAATTAAGGAAGAATAATTTATAATCTATATTCTTATCGTCTCAAATTAGATAAAAGGAAAAGCCTGTGGAAAAGTATACAACCCTTAAAAATTAAAATGACCACAGGGTACCAGTGTCCACAGTCTTCATTTTTGAAGGTGTTTGTGCTTTACTCCCTGGGTGGTTTAAGACTGTTTTTAGTTGTTTGAGAATCTTTGAAACCAACACATCATCATAGCTGTCCTGCTATTACTATGATCATGTTTTGATCATCTGCACTCCAATTAGAAATCAAGTTTGTTTATTTGTTTATTTAAACTGATCTAGTACACTTTTCATTCCACCATTCTTGAGTAGGGCAACATCCAATATGGCAGATAGAAAGTTTCTCCCAAGAGTTGTAAAATGTGTTTGCTTGGTTTTTAGTCTATCTCTCTCCTTTTTGTTTGTAAACCCTAAGAACTTCTATGGGTCATTCAGAGCTTGATCAGAAAAAAGAGGCTCCAGAGGATATGTATATTACAAGGGATTTGACCTTACACAAGTGTGGGGCTAGTTACCCAATCTATGTGAGGCTGATTGTTCTCTGTGCGACACTGGTGGCTGAAGTCCACAGGGCTGGTGGTCCGGAAAGAAGAATAGAAACAAAGTGGGGGACTCATGGACAAAGTGGAACCAGAAACAGCAGGGCAGGATGTAACCATGAGAACGTACAGGAACCCACATTGATCTTTCACTGCTTCCAAGGCTCCAGCTTCCCTGGTGAGGCACCCTGAGAGAGAAGTTTCGGTCATGCTCAGGGAGCTCAGCGCAACCTGGGGAAGCGCTAGAGATGCTGACCCAGTAGGTCTGGCAGGAGCTGAAGGAGCTGTGGGTGGAGGGAGCCCGGCCTGAACCAGGTGAGCACAGATGAGCAAGTAAGACTTCTGAATACAGGAACACGCTGCTGCTTCACTCCCACCTTCCAAATCTCATGCAAAATGTCACATTAGTCTCACACTAATTCGGAATGGTGCAGGGAAGGGAATCCTGGAGAGCAGAGTTCCAGGATAGCTCAGTGGACGACACACTTCAAATCTAGAATTATTCCAAAATAAAAGAGTTTTATTTTAAATTATTTATTTATTTATCGAAATATAGAGCACTCACAATATTATGTTAGTTTCGGGTGTATAATACAGTGATTTGATAGTTTTATAAATTACACACCATACAAAGTTATACTTCACTTATTTCATCCCCTCCTCTGTGGTAACCACTAGTGGGTCCTCGGTATTTGTGAGTCTGCTTCTGTTTTGTTGTATACAAACACTGTATGCTTTCACTTATACCTGGAATCTTAATAAACAAAACAAATGAACAAATTAAAAGTTTATATTTAAAAAGTGAAAATAAGCTTTTTATTCTGCTGAGAGTAGGATCATACTAACATACTGCTCCTCTCTCTTCCAGCATTATAGGGTAGATTTTCAGGTCAATACACACAAATCTACCTCATTTTAAAAACGGCTACAAGTTATTTTAAGATGTTAATTACATATTTTAAAGTCATTCTGTTGAATTGATTCCAATATTCTTGCCTTAACAAGTAATGCTGCAAAGGGCATCTTTTCAAATATATCCTTGTACATTTATATGAACTTTATGTATAAAGGTTCATATAAATGAACCTTTCATGCATGTGAATATTTAAAATTGTCAAAAGTAAGAATATTAACATTTTAAATGTCAAATTGTTCTTCAAATGGTTGTTGGAATTTATAAATCTATCAATAGTACATAAGAATGCTTTTTTACTCATACTCTTGCCAAACTGGATATTATCATTAAAAAAAAAATATTGCCATTCTAGTAGAAAACAGGTGGTGTTTCAGTTGTGTGATGATGGATATAGAATGTTAGCCATGTGGCTGGAGAAGGAGAGAAGAATGGGTAAGATGAAATCATGGGTAAATACATAAAAGTACAGAGGGAATGCTACTCTCAAAATGTAGTTTTCAGGAAAGCTGAATTTTAGCATGGAGTTGAGGGTCAACCTGATATTGGCAGTCATGAAATGTTTGAATTCATATTAAGGAGACTGAATGTTTTTCAAAACCATTACAGCTTTTTCAGAAAGGAAGAACATACTCAGATTTTTATTTTGGAAATATGTCTATAAATGAAATGTAGGAGTCTGGCTTAACTGGGGCTAAAGCTGGACAAAGGATACTTAGTTAAGAGGTCCTTGATATGATAGGATACATATTAGCACTAAGGCACAGAAGTGCCTTTGAGAGAAGCATTGAAGACAGAACTACAGAACTTAGAGGCTAATTAGACATGAAACGTAAAAGAGATGGAGTAGATTAGATTTTAATAGACCGAAATCTCAATTTTACTTTTGCAAAATTAGAGACTGCATGAAGAGAAGCAGAGCTGTGGAAGAGATGATGAATTTTGTCTTAGATATGTTCCTTGTGAGATGCCTGTAGAGTTCCAAACTGAACATGTGCAATAAATAAAGGGAAATGCAGGTTGCAAGCTCAGTTCTGGCTTGGAGACACAGATTTGAAAGCTATCAATGTATAGGTGGAAGAGGACATTTTGGGCTGGATAATTCTCTGTTGTGTGGTTACCCTATGCGTTGTAGGATGGTAAGCAGCATCCCTGGTG